GGGGCCCCTTCTCACGAGACACTCCTTCGGCAGGAGGTGTCCAACCTGTTGGCGCTAGGGGCTATAGAAAGAGTGCCCCCAGACGTGAAGGGAAAGGGTTTCTACTCCCGCTACTTCCTAGTACCCAAGGCGAAAGGGGGCATGCGTCCCATATTAGACCTACGAAACCTGAACGCCTTCATAAGAAAAGCAAAGTTCAGGATGGTGACGCTGGCTTGCATCATCCTATCGCTCCAAAAGGGGGACTGGTACGCTGCTCTCGATCTCAAGGATGCGTACTTCCACATTTCGATTTTTCCAAGTCACAGAAAGTTCCTACAGTTCGTGGTGGGTCAGGGGGCATGCGTCCCATATTAGACCTACGAAACCTGAACGCCTTCATAAGAAAAGCAAAGTTCAGGATGGTGACGCTGGCTTGCATCATCCTATCGCTCCAAAAGGGGGACTGGTACGCTGCTCTCGATCTCAAGGATGCGTACTTCCACATTTCGATTTTTCCAAGTCACAGAAAGTTCCTACAGTTCGTGGTGGGTCAGGACCATTTCCAGTTTACGGTCCTCCCATTTGGGCTGTGTACGGCCCCAAGGGTTTTTACCAAATGTATGACGGTGGTAGCCGCGTTTCTGCGGCGGCACAGGGTCCAAGTGTTTCCATATCCGGACGATTGGCTGATAAGGGGCACGTCTCGAGAATAGGTGATAGATCACATCACACGGGCAAGGGCATTGTTCGGGAGCCTTGGCCTCCTCATAAACGATGCTAAATCGTCGTTAGACCCCACGCAGGTGATAGACTTTGTGGGGGCCCATCTGGACTCACCCTCGGGGAAGGCGTCCCTACCGAGGGTCAGATTCCTGACTGTCCGTTCATTGGTAGTGGAGCTGAAGGAGTTTCCAACTACGACGGCAAGGACCTGTATGAGGCTCCTAGGCCACATGGTGGCGTGCACTTACGTGGTCCACCACGCCAGGCTGCGCATGCGCCCATTGCAGGGATGGCTCAAAGTAGCGCACAACCCTTTGAGGTCGCCGCTAGATGCGGTAGTGACT